GGTGTACGCCCTTCCCAATTTTGAACCATGCAGTGTTTCCTTGCTCTGTTCTGATGACTGCCTCTTGGTCCAAGTATAGGTTTCTCATTAGCACAATGAGTTGTGAGAGGATATCAAGGGTATCATCTAGGAAGAGTGCAGACAGTCATTGCAAAGACAGAAGAGGAAGAAAAGACCAAATGGATGTCAGAAAAGACTCTGAAAATTGCACTGGAGCACAGAGAAGCCAAAGCAGAAGAAAGAATCCAAGATACTAAAGAGTTAAATAGAAGATTTCAAAAACCAGCACGGGATGACAAAGTAAAATATTACAATGAAATGTGCCAAAATCACTCAGCATTTCTTAAGCTCAAGGAACTGAAGAACAACTTCAAAACTCAAGTTGCTATACTCAAGGATGCTTTAGGAAGAATATTAAATGATACAGGAAGTATTAAAAGAAGATGGAAAGAATATACTGAGTAACTGTATCGAAAGGAATTGGCAGACACAGAGAATTTCACGGAACAACATATGAGCAAGAGCCTATGGTGATGAAGGAAGAAATTCAGGCTGCTTTGAAGGAAATAGCAAAAAATAAGGCCCAAGAATAGATGACATGTTTCAGCTAACAGATACTGCCCTGCATGTGCTCACCAAGTTGTGCCATGAAATCTGGAGAACAACCACTTGGCCAACTGACTGGAAAAGATCTATATTTCTTCCCATCCCAAAGAAGGGTGACCCAACAGAGTATGGAAACTATAGAACAATACCATTGATTTCACATGCAAGCAAGATTCTACTGAAGATTATCCAAAAACGACTGGAACAGCACATCATCAGAGAACTGCCAGAAGTTCAGGCTGGGTTTAGAAGAGGTCGTGGTACTAGGGATACTGTAGCTAATGTTAGATGGATCTTAGCTGAAAGCAGGGAATACCAGAGGAATGTATATCTGTTTTTCATTGACTATGCAAAGGTGTTTGACTGTGTGGATCATAACAAACTGTGGCTGACTCCGAGAAGAATGTGAATCCCAGAACACTTGATTGTTCTTGGAAATGGTTTGAATAAA